GAACACTGGGATATTGTGCACTTTCTAGTCTTTTCCCTAGACCTCAGGAATATCTGTGTCCTCCAGTCCTGAAATAGGATGATCTTGTTTGCAACCCAAGAGGCCTTACCAGTGTTTCCTACCCCACTGCAGCTGGTATCATCAGATGTGCAGGGACAGCTGGTGTCATCATCACTATGGCATTGGGCACAGCATCCATGGTGCCAACAGTCTGTCCTTATTCTAGAAAGAGACATCAAATCCATCCACTGCACAAATATTTTGATGAGTAATATAAAACACAAGGTGTGGCACTGTAGGGTAGAAGGTACCAAGGAGCTTTGGCCTTATGAATGCGCTGAGAATTACTGTTCACTAGAATAAGAATATACTAAAAACAAAATAAACTATAGCTTTTCTTTTCTTTTCTTTTCTTTTTTTTTTTTTCTTTTCCTTTTTGTTGACAGGGTATTGCTGTCCGGACCAGGCAATACCCTGGGCTCAGGTGTTGCTCTTGCTTCAGTCTCTGGAACTACAGGCTTTCTTTAATCAAATGGAGTTGTGTTTGGCAGGGAGAATCCTTTTGTCTTTTTTGACAAGTCAAAGTGACTGGGAGAAAGGGCAGCCCTTGCGGTGAGTGCACACCCAAGGTGCTGGCCACAGAGGCGTAAAATGGCCTTTCCTATAGCTGGCTCCATTGTGACATCCTTCTTGCTAGGTCTCCAACCATGACAGAGACTTTATCTTGACCTGTGACCTAGCCCAGTGCTGGAACACACGCCATGGAATGGTAGGCTTGGATCCCTAGAGGAATTATTTTATTTATTTTTCATTTTTATATCTGTCCATCTGCCTGTTTATCTATCTACCTATCTATAATCTATTATTTACTTGCCTACCTATCATCTGTCATTATCTATCATTTATCTACCTACTAACCATTTATCTACCTACTACCTACCTATCTAGGTATATATCTATTTACCTATCATTTGTCATCTACTTACCTATCTATTATCTATCTATCTATCTATCTATCTATCTATCTATCTATCTTGTATCATGTGTGTATATACCATGTTTGAACATACCACATACCATGTGTGTAGAAGCAACTTGTAGGAGTCAATTTTCTTCTTTTACCCTGTGGGTTTTGAGGATCGGACTCAGGCTGTCAGGATTGATGGCAAGTGCTTTTACTTGCTGAGACATCTCACCATGGAGGGATTGTTTTTTAAAGGATTATTCTGGCAACAGGAGGTTTTGTCTTCCCTTTGACCTTAGGATCTACAGCTCTCTAATGCTATCTTGTGCCCCTGCGCTATTGCTCTGTAGTCTCGACTCCTCGTGCAACAGGATCACTGCTGCCAGCTGTAGGAATGGGAGTATAGAGTCCGCCCTGTCTATGGCCTCAGGCACTTTGAGCACCAGTCAGGCCACTGTTTGTCTGTAGACAGTTTGGTTGTGGCTTTTGGATCTCGGGTGATACAAATAAGAGTCCTGGGAACCACCAATCAGTTTGTAAAATGTGGATGTGATCACACCACATGCTTGCTTTATAACCTTTCCAGGTTTTTAATTATCTCTATATTGAAATCCTGGCACCTGTTATTAAACACTCCGTTGCCCCCTGCAGCCTCAGTATCCAGGACATCCTTGCCTGCCACCCCCTACAGCCTCACATTCCCCTGGCATCCTTGCCCACCACCCCCTACAGCCTCACATTCCCCTGGCATCCTTGCTATTCTGAGTTCCAGCTGCTCTCACTATAAGGTGCTGGTTCACTGCAGGCCCCAGAAAAATGGGCCAAGAGATCAGAACTAAGACAAAATAATTTTTCCTCTTTTTATTTTATAGACAGGCACTTACGATGTGGACCCAGACCGGCCTCAAAGCCAGAATCCTCCTTCTGCCTTAGTGGTACTGGGGTCACAGGCTGTTCCACCAAATGCTCTTCCTTCCCTCTTTTAAACTTGTCTCCGGTATTTTCATACATTTTAACCTACCTACCTACATCCATCAGTCATAAGCAACACAGGCTTCCAAGTTTCTTTTTTCCTGAGACGCTATGTATTCTTGACCCTCTTGGAATTCACTACATAGACCAGGCTGACTGAGAACTCACTGAGCTCAGCCTGCATCTGCCTGTCAAGCCTTGGGATCAAAAGTATGCGCCACCACACCCAGCCTCTTTCAGCACCCTTGTGTCCTCAAGTGTCACTCAAATGGCAGAATCGTAAAGTGCATGGAGATGATTGTCTTAAATAACAATGTATTGGGATGGTTTGCTACGGCATGTTTGCTTATCTATGCCCTGGAACAAGTACTTCTCCTGGAGTGTGATTCTAAGTGTTAAAACTGTGGCAGGCCCTGGTCAGCTGGGATGGTGGTTCATGTCCCCTTTCAATGCATGCTGACTTTGTGTTTTCTGCTTCTGTCTCTGTGCCTGTCTCTTTCTGTTGTCTCTGTGTCTCTCTCCCCACCCGACACAGAATGAACGCATGCGGAATAGTGAGTGGGTGGGAATATTTGTCTTCTGACTGAGTGTCCCCTCTATCCATACTCTAGAGGTGGGAGCCCTCCTGGACCTGTATCTGGGGTTCCCTCCCACTTGCTGGCTCCTTCATGGGGCCAGACCTTTCTGCCCCTAGCTTTTTTTGTGGGGCAGGACCTGGAGAGGTAGTTCAGTGGTTGCTCTTCTAGAGGACCAGGGTTTGATTCACCATCACCTCGTGGTGACTCACAACCGTCTGCAACTCCCTGTTCCAAGGGATCCAATACCCTCTTTTGGCACAGACATACATGTAGGTAAAACACCCATATGCACAAAAATAAGATAAAAATAAATTTAAAGAAATTAAAATTTATTTATTTATGTACATGTGTGTGCACGTACATGTGTGTGGTGTGGAGATCAGAGGATAACTTCCAGGAGTTGGTTCTCTCCTTCTACCGTGTGGGACCTGGGAATAGAACCCTGGTCCTCAAGCTTGAGAGCAGGTGCCTTTACCCACTGAACCATCCGACCTGCCTCAAAGCTCTTCATTTTTCTCTGGACCCCTGATTTAGGTGTTTGCCAATGATCTTTTCCCGTGCAAATGAGGACCCCACAGGGCCATGGTAGGACTGTACCACTCTTCTTGGCTGCATTTTAAGTACTTAATTCCAGGCCAGATCACACTCAGTAAACATTGCTTCCAAAGCTGTAAGGAGCTTTCCCTAGGCAGGGTGTCCTTCTCCTTGATTTAAACACATTTGGGACAGAGAGTTCACTATCTCACAAAATGGCCATTATGCTTTCAAAAAGGCCATTTCAATGTAATGTCAGTGTTTTCCCCATCAATGGTTGCTGTTTGGACCTCCATCATCCTGCCAGTCTCGGCAGAGAAACTTTGAGCTCTGTCTTATCCCATCTCTTGGTGACAGGCCCCAGGCCCAGTGCCAGCCCTTTCTGGATCATGGGCCTCTATGTACACATATCAGTGCTTGCTTCATCACACTGAGGATGTGACCTTGATTAAGGGACTCAGAAAATCTGCAAAACTAAGGAGACTATGGTTGGTATAGCTTTCTGCTAGAGTGCTTGTCTAGTATATGTTTGGCACTGGGACTGAGCCTAGCACCGTGGAAGGAAAAAAGTCACATGTTGGCAAACCTAATTTTGAAGTGCTGGGGATGGAACCTGGACTAGGGCTCTTTGCACAAAGTCAAGGACTCCACCACTGAGCTACCCCTTTAATCTGACTACTTTAAATAAGCTGAAATGCAAAAAAAGAAAAAGAAAAGAAAAAGAACACCACACCCTAAAAATACCCAGGCTCCTGGTGGATACTCTGGGGTTTGGAGTCTGTGTGGGTGTCATGAATGATTTTCTCTGGCCATGAACTGCCCTTGTTTTGTGCTCCATGAAGCACAGTGGTTTTTCCTTTGCTGAGCTACACTTATCCAGGCTGCAGGCTCTGACAGAGGGGCTGGGCCCTGCCAGAGATGGAATAAGGCTGGGAATCTGGAGCATGCGGCCTTTTGTCCTGGCCTAGGAGGCCCAGTGTTCTTTGAGGGGTCATGCTCGCCTGAGGTATGCTCTCAAGGTGTGGCCTGAACCAAAACAACAAGATGAAGCCTCAAAGGTCAGCCCCATCGTGGCTATTATTCTCATACCAGACTTTTGTCTTGGAACCGTACTGAAGCCTTCGTACATGCAGCATCTCTGCCTTTGCAGTTGAAAGGGCAAGGGGATCTCAGCTCTGGGCAATAAACAGCTGCTGGAGACATCAGGCTTTACCTGGTTTCTAATGAGGATGGATGAAAGAGTAAAGGAGAGCTGGAGTTTCCCACAATGCCCTTTTCCTCCCTGAGTTTCTCTGGGCATCAACCCAGGTCCTTTTCATTTTAATTAACGAGGTGAACCTGGATCTATCTTTCAAAGGAATCTGAGGAAATCTTCCTGCCAAGTCCTGAGTGAATCTGTGTGACACTCAGGAATATGGGCCCAGCTCCTTCCTGTGTAGGTTAAAGAACTCTGAGGAGAACAGAGATTATAGGGAAACAGTCTACCTTTCTTTACAAGGCCTTGTTCTGCATCCCTGAAATCTCAGATGCAGCTATTACAATGAGGTCCTGTTGCAGAAAGAGCTGACATTTTATCACCACTTAAAATCTAATTAATCCATACTGAAGCACAAAGATTTCTGTTGTACGTTAGGGTGAGGGGTCATAGAGACCTCTTTGTTCATCTTTAGACTTATACTCGTCAAGCGTTGGGGATGTAATTTTACCAAGCAAATTGGAAGGTAACAGATCAAATCCTTATCAGAAAGCCTAACTCATAGTTTTTAACAGAGTCCTTTACCCTTTACATGAAACACTATATTCAAGAGGAACAAAAACGTATTTCAGAGCGCCCAGAGAGTTAATGACCAAAGCTTATATTTGGGCAGCATAGAATCAAGACCATCACACTACTGTCAAACACAAAAGGCGGCAGGTCCTATAGAGCAGCTGAGTTGCAACATCTGTCTCAAATGGCTTTCATCTTCAGAATAGCCATGCAATCCGTAGGGCTTTCACTCTCATTGCTAGGATGGGTTCTAGCCATCATTACAACATATCTGCCACACTGGAAGAACCTCAACCTGGAGCTGAACGAGATGGAAAACTGGACCATGGGGCTCTGGAAATCCTGCGTCATCCAGGAGGAAGTGGGGAGGCAATGCAAGGACTTTGACTCCTTCTTGGCCTTGCCAGCCGAACTCCAGATCTCCAGGATCTTGATGTCTCTGTCGAATGGGCTGGGGCTGCTGGGGCTGCTGGCCTCTGGCTCTGGCCTGGACTGCTTGAGGCTTGGAGAGACCCAGAAGGATCTGAAGAGGCGGTTGCTTATCCTAGGAGGGCTCCTGCTCTGGACTTCGGGCGTGATGGTCCTGGTTCCTGTGTCTGCTTCACTGTGCAGCCTGCTCAAGCCCAGCTCCTCCAGCCTCGGGCCGCTATGCAGTGACAGGATTGCAAGACCACGAGACATACCTGGAGAACAGAACCACACAACCTAAAGTGTAAGCGGCCAGCAGGGCCCAGTCATATCCGTCATCATGGTCTCTGTTGTGTAACTAAATTGTGCTGCTCACATTGTTTTTTTTTCTTTTTCTTTTGGTCTATACTAGAGGTTTGCCTCTCAAATCTGAAGAACAAAAGGAAGTCTATAGGGAAGTTATGATGACAAACACTATGTGTTTGTCAGTAGGTGTAAAAAACCAGTCCAGGGTTTGATGGATTCACAATGTGGAAAAGCTGTTCTGCTGTTTGTGGCTGAAAAGGACAATTACTTTCCATGTCCTAAAGAGAACAATAATAGTCTCTGCTTTTAAGTATTAGGAGAGCCACAGGCTAAGCCAGGCGCCAATGTCATCTCCAAGGTGACTCTGCTCTTGCTTAACCATCCCCAGGGGCCTATTGAACTCTATAAGGATTTTAGGGAGCTGGATGTTTGTGGATGTTCTGGATGGACCACCAGAGCATTGTGGGCCTTTACTATTCTTAAGTGGCAGCTGCTCTCTGCCCTCATCTCTTTACTCAAAAAGCTTCAAATTTAAAAAGGAAAAAAAAAAAAAAATCCAGAGATTTTTTTTCTTGTTATTTGGATTCTCTCAATTCATTGTCAGAATGAATACTTCTGTGTTCAGTTACAAATGACAAAGGTGGGGATATACAGTGGAGCAGGAGACAATGATGCTGATTTTGACCCAAAGGCCTTATTGCTTATCTTTCCTATAGCCTAGAAAGCTAACTTCAGCAAAGAAGAAAAAAAGGAAAAAGAAAAGAATCCCCCAAATTCTCAAAGCCTGACAACTGTTAAGGCTTATGCATGTGAGTGAGCTTAACCAAAGGCATGTAGATCAGTGAGACCGACATTCACTTCAGTATTGTCTCATGTAATTCCTGTAGCCAGAGAGACTTTTCAAAACAGGCCTCATTTAAAGTCTAGAGGGATTCCTGATAAGATTGATTTATTTGGTTAAGAAATACTTCTCTCTGAACCTCTTTTTTGCAAAGATGGTAACACCCAGTATTATCATAACACACGCACTGAAACTCGAGAACTTTTAAACAGATGAAAATCTGACAGGTCTAATTAGCACAGCACAAAACAGGAGGAGTTGAACCCAAACCTTCAATTAAACATTTAAAAAAAAAAAACATTTAGACTTAATTCTCTGACTTGTTAGGAGCGTTGGGAATGTGAAAGCCAGGTAAACCTTCACAATGAAAAGATTAGCACAACTTGACCTCAGAGGCTCTCTGACAAAGTGCCCTGCACAAACTTCAGCCCACGGGACACAAACACAGCCCCGGGCCACACCTTAGCATTACTGGTTCATAGCTGAGTTTCCCTGTCCTCTTCTGAAATCTTTTCAACATGGAATCAAACAATAGTAGACCTGGCAAACGTCCTCCTATACACACAATGCAAAGGCATGCCTGAGCTCTGCAAGCGCTAAGTGTCACACTTTCTACAGCAAGCGCGGGGCAGGAGTCGGGTTGGCTCACGCTCACAGGGCATTCTAATGGGCTTAGATTTCAGAACAGCCACGCAGTCCGCTGCACTTCTGCTATCACTGCTGGGATGGGTTTTAGCCTGCCTTACAAACTACTTGCCACACTGGAAGAACCTCAACCTGGAGCTGAACGAGATGGAAAACTGGACCATGGGGCTCTGGAAATCCTGCGTCATCCAGGAGGAAGTGGGGAGGCAATGCAAGGACTTTGACTCCTTCTTGGCCTTGCCAGCCGAACTCCAGATCTCCAGGATCTTGATGTCTCTGTCGAATGGGCTGGGGCTGCTGGGGCTGCTGGCCTCTGGCTCTGGCCTGGACTGCTTGAGGCTTGGAGAGACCCAGAAGGATCTGAAGAGGCGGTTGCTTATCCTAGGAGGGCTCCTGCTCTGGACTTCGGGCGTGATGGTCCTGGTTCCTGTCTCCTGGGTGGCCCACATGACAGTAGAGGAGTTCTGGGATGAGACTCTGCCTGAGATTGTGCCCAGGTGGGAGTTTGGGGAGGCCCTTTTCCTTGGCTGGTTTGCTGGCTTCTGCCTTGTGTTAGGAGGGTGTCTGCTTCACTGTGCAGCCTGCTCAAGCCCAGCTCCTCCAGCCTCGGGCCGCTATGCAGTGACAGGATTGCAAGACCACTGTCAGCAACTGGAGCTGAAACACGCCAACCCAGAAATCTAAGCCAGAGGGATCTGTGGCCTCTCTACTCTTCAGCAGGTGCTTGCTCCAGCTGGACTTGGTAGGATCTCCTGCTATAATCACCCCTCCTCACTGTGATTTTGATTTTCTGAAATGCTTATTTCCTTTCTGTGACTATTAACTTCTTCAAATACAATTTCTTCCTACAACTGAGCAAAGCACTTCTGTTTCCTATTTGGAGGCCAAAAGAATCAGGACCTATTAATGTAATCAGTCATCAGTGAGCAGCATGAGCGCTTCGCCAATCTCTAAAATAGGCTGTGATTGCACACACACAGGGAACGGGTAAATAAAACATTCTAGGAGCACTTGTGTAACTGAAGGGTCATTCATGTGGAGAGGAGTCATGTGGGAAACAGATGTGATGGCCTATCACGTACTTTCAGGTGTCTAAGGTAACTTATGAAAGCAAGGTCTCAGTGTATTGTCATTGAAAATACATGACAAGTGATGGCAGTTAGAAACAAAACAACCACAACAAAACACCTGCTTGGTCCATAAAGGACTCTATGGGACACCCCCTTTTCCAAGACCTCAGTGTCTTTAGAGCCCTGCCCACATCAGAGGCACCCATGCGTGCCTCTGAGCATAGCAGAGCAACCTTGGATTCTGGGAATTCAGGTAGAATGTGTGACGCAGAAGTACGCTTGCCTCTGTACCCCGAGTTTCAGGGAGGAATGTCCTGCCTGCTTTGGCTCTGTGGCACAAGTCAGGATGGGTGTATGGGGGTGGGCACAGTGCCTCCTGGGACGGCTGCCTCATTTTGCAGAACACTGCCAGCTCCGATAGTTTGAGCAGGATCACATACTCGTCAGTCCTTGTTTCCCTTGAGAAATGAAAATATCCCATCTCATTTATCCTTGACATATACAGTCTAAATAAGAACTATTCATGACAAAGTTTTGGCTTGAAGAATTCTTCATGGAACGTTTTATATTTGCTTGGTACATGGTTCAAGTAGATTCTTGTACTTGTGCCAATCAGGGAAATTAAATGAACAATAAGCAACATTAAAATACAGTATCAGGAAATACGTATCTTCGTAAAAAAAAAAAAATCACTGAACTTGCTTTCCATCCACAAACAAACGGAAAGTGCAGCAATGGGAGTTAATCTGTGTGATGTATTTGAACACTTTCACAAACAGCACGAATGAAAACAGAAACATACTCAGAATTTAACCTGCTTAAATATTTAGTTCAGTCCTGAGCTTCTCATATTTAATATAATATAAATCCATAGCAAAAAAAATTTAAATGTATTTAATTTGTATGCTAGAGACTTAGCTAAACTTTGTTCATTTGGCAAGTAACACTCTTTTTGTACCTGTAACATTTCAGAGTCTGATATATAAAATGGTAACAATATAGTGATAATCCAAACTTGAGAGCTAAATATGAAATCCTTTTTATCCTGTGAAGAATAATTCTACCTTTAAAAATATTTTTCATAATATTAAAATTTTTATTTGTCCATATGGTTTTGTGATCGAGTTAGTAGGATGTTTTTTGAATCACGGGTTAATACAAATGTGTCAGGACTACACAAAGCTGCCTGTAATACATAAAACTATTGCTGACTTTAGAGTGTGGGAAAAGGGTCCTGCTAGAATGCATTTCTCTCTCACGTTAGAAATAAGCACATTTTGTAAAATGAAACCAAAGTCCCCCAGTCACAACTGTGAACTACCAGCCTGAGACACTCCATTCTTTAATACTTATCTGAGACTTTTTGTATTACAAAAAGTTAGCAGTAAGTCTGATGAATATCATGAAGCTTTAAATACTCCAATATAGCCTCTTGTAAGCCCAACATTTAAGATGGCCAGAATCAAACTATATATTAAACAGAACATAAATAAGACCGTAAATAAATAAATGAAAATAAAATCGTACGGTACAACTACACAAAATTCTATGAACATTTTCGTGGGTCAAATATGACGCTGAGGACAGCTGACTTTTATTTAACGCTATATTAAATAAAACTCTGCTGTTCACATTTGACCTTGACAGGGATGGATGGCACTCCAGCTTCCTCCAGTCACCCACAGGGCAAACTGGGCAGCCCAGGAGAGTGCTCAGCCTGCTACTAGGCTCTTTTTTTTTATTCCAAGTAGTGTCATGTCCAGTTACATCTTCTAAAAGGTTGCGTGTATAAGCTGCGCAACACCAAGGGGAAACACGGTTGAAGTTTTAGGTGCAGTAACTTGATAATTGAAGTTCTGGCTGAGTATAAATATTGATTCTGATAAAATGAATGTTCTAAAATATGCATAGATTCAAGAAAATAAAAAAATTCTTACTAATGGGGATTCCAGCAGAACATAACTCTTTTTTAAACAGATTTTTTCTTGCCTTTCTTTTTTTAAATTCCTATAAAATTATTTTGCATTAAAAAAATAAAAATAATTTAGCTTGCTATTTAAGATGGCTCACCAAAACACGGCTTCTTCCAGTATGACAGACTAAGATTGGTTTAAATTACCTAAAAACTATGTATTTTAACACTTGTATGCTGGCAAAGCTATGCTGAGCTTTCTTTTTTTCTCTCTCTCTCTCTCTTTCTTTCTTTCTTTTTTTTTTTCTTTCTTTCTTTCTTTTTTTTAAGAAGTGCCCGGGTCTGGTGAGTTAAAAACCTAACCTGGAGAGCAAGATACACTTACAATTTCTAGCTCAAGCTTGTTCGCCTAGAATATATATTTTTGAGTGGTCCAGTCCACACTCTGAGTTCCCTCAGGCACACCCTTTGTTCTTGCTCCCGTCTGCTTTCTATGAATCACTGATAGAATCCCCTAAAGATGACAGCTGCGAAATTATTTCAAGTAAGTGTAAAAACCTGTTGATTCTGATCTTATTAAGATGCAGCCTGTCCCCCATCTCACCTAATGAATATGGGTGTGTCTCCTCCTCACCTATGGGTGCACCACAAAATGTGGTGCAGGCCGGAAACTGACAAAGCCCTCAGGTTCAGATTGCGTTAGAAGCACTGGCCACTCAACATAAGTTGAGTTTCCTTGGTATGTTTTTGGGAGATGGTGCCCCTTCCTTTTTCTCTGTCCCGACCACAGCTCTCTACAGTAGGAGTATACCTTTGCTTTTCACTTTCTTGTACTCAGAATTTCATGCTTTTGTTTTCTTTAGACAAGTTTAAGAGGTCAGAAAGAACAGTTATTCCAAAACAAGGTGGCCAGACATAGCTGATGGAAGGAACAGGGCACCTGTTTTGGGTGGACTCAGAGTGATGCTTGCTTGTGCGCACTTCCGATGGAAAGTGTGGCTTTCTAGAATGGTGTGGTTCCAGCTTCACAGGCTCCCTGATGGCTGCCTCCTGCAGTTGGCTCAGCAGGCAGACAATGGGCACCAGCTGTCTCTGTTCCATTCTGCACAGTGAAACCCAGGGCTGACACATAACACACTGTACAAGTGTGGACCAGACTACCCCACTTTTGTTCTGTGAATTTTTTTTTTCCTTCTCAAAGCATGTAAGAGTTACATTCAACACACTTTACAGATGAACCTGATGAAACTGGTGTGGAATGAAAGTTCTTCAAGGGTTGACAGTTATATTACAGGAAACAAAAGCCCCTCCCCCCAACAAAAAACAAAACCAGTAAATGTTCAGTCTTTGACTCTCCCTTGGAAAGTGAGCAGGCGAGAAGTAACATTAAGCTGTGTGGTCACACGTCATCAGCTGGCAGGGACGGGATGCTGATCTTTGCTCGTGTGAAGTAGGCTATCTTCTCCCTAGACAGGGAGAGAACAGGGAGAAAAACACTCAGTATGAACCTGGAAATTCTGATAGCCCCCAAGCCTGGCTCCACAATCCCAGAAACTACACTTAAAATCATAAGAGCCTTCATTTTTAGTAATTCTTTTTATAGCTATTTTTATTTAGTGTATGTGTAGGGGGTGTACATGCCAGGGTGGTGGTGTGAAGTCAGAGAACATACACCACTGGTGGGAGCCAGTCCTCTCCTTCCTGGGGTCCTTGGGGTTTGAACTCAGATCATCAGGAATGGTAACAAGTGCCTTCCTCACTGAACCATCTTGCCAGGCCGAGTCTTTATCGCTTTAAAGGGGCATAGTAGTACACACAGTTCCCCTGGCTAAAGTCCTCTACATGCCAAGTCAGTAAGTCCCGCTGGAGTGTCCAACTGAAGAGCATTTGTTATCCACCAGGGGTGTGGGCTATGTTGGGATATTTAACTTGCTCGTTACAATTATTTACTTATGGTGTGTATGTATGAGCGTGTGCACCTCAACACCTGTGTGGAGGTTGGAGGACACTCTGTGGAGCTGGTTCTCTCCTTCTATTGTATAGGTCCTAGGGAACAAACACATGTTGTCTGCCTTAGAGACAGATAGATGCCAGCCCCTCACCTCAGTTTTTGAGATAGGGTCTCTTACTGAATTTGGAGCTTGCTGATTCATGGAGACTGGCTAGCCAGCAAGTTCCAGGAATCCTCCTGTTTCAGCCCCCTCAGCACTGCAAGTTACAGGTCATCTAGCTTTCATGGGGGGGGGGCTGATCTCAGGCCTCCATGCTTGAATAGCAAGTATTAGTCAATGAGCCATCTTTCCAGTCCCCACTTGACTATCTTAGGAGGAAAACCGCCCTGGGAGAAAAAAGGAGACCTGTTAGGATGGAGCAGAATGGTATTCATGTTAGGAAAACGATAGGAAAAACAAGGAATGTACAGTGACCAAAGATGACAGAGCTTATCTTTTTAGGAAACTTCACATGCATAGCATGCATTGAGAGTGTGTTCTACACCGAGCTGTGCTTGGCAGCTAGGAGGAAGGACTGAGCTTGCCCTCCCAATACACAAGCTATGGTGCAGATGGAGAAAGAGAAGACTGAAAAGCAGGGTGCTGGACAGAGTTACTGTGATACAGCATCCTTTAAGACTACCTAGTTCCCTAAAAGATGAGTAAAGAGGTTAAAGCGGCCAGAGACTGTCATCATGATGTCTGGGAGGCCATAAAGCCCTGCCAGACCCTACGAGGATTTAACTACATGGTCAGTTATAGCGCCTTGCTGACTGGCCTGAGCAACATGACACCCAGGGACACCTGGGCTCCTGTCTCCACAGGAAACAAGAGGCTGAGGTAGGGCTGTGCCTGTGCCCCACCCACTGCTGCTCCTTGATCTCTCACCACCGGAGGTGCCAAGGAACACATTCAGCTATCATAGGTGTCACACAGTCCTCACATGGTGTGTCTTACCTCACTCCATCATTCTCACTTGCCTTGTGGTATCAATGGGTTCATCCTCCCCACTGCCCCCAAGAGAGGGTCTCGATATATAGCCCTGGCTGCCCCGAACTCACTCTGTAGACCAGCTGGCCCTAAACTCACAGAGATCTGCCTACCTCTGCCTTTGTCCTACTGGGATAAGAGGCATGTGCCATCACACTAGGACAGGTGGGTGTCTTATGGGGAAAGGGAATGCTTGTGCATTCTTTCCTTTGTATTTTAACAACCAGAAGTTTAAGATTTCCATAGTTGACAATGCTGTTTTCTGTCGAAGACTGCAGCATGCCGGGATGGGAAGGGCTCCTGCCACCACTCCACAGCTAAGAAACCAAGGAGGAGCACTTTCTGTGCATAGCCACAGTGGCTGTCTGGCACAGTGGGCAGGGGAAGCCCAGCCCTTTACCTTTACATATAGAGCCTCAGCTTCCTGTCCCTGCTCTGAAGCCTCACTTGTCTGATGCCAGCTCCCACCTGTCAAAGTCCTCCCCATCCGTCTGTCATGGTCCTTCCCTGCTCCCAAATAGCCTCTCTCCTGATTTCTCTCCATAGCCTAAAAGCTAGATAGTTAGCTTTCTTTTTTTAACGTGTGTGTGTGTGTGTGTGTGTGTGTGTGTGTGTGTGTGTGGGGTGAGGAATAGAATGATAACCAAGGTCTGTCCAGAAAGTGAGTGAACAAAGTTCCCCAAAGATCTATGACTTTTCTATATCCTAGGCGAAGCTTTCTCAATGATAATAAGAGGTTCTGCATTCCTGGGGAGATAGGCTTTGTGGGTGTCACCTCAGGACGGAATGCATGTACAACTATATTCATACCAGGGGCAGACATAGTGGTAACTCTCACTTGTGCAACCACACCACATGAGGGGAACACCACACAGCTGGTCCCATGAAGCCATTTACCTGAAGGACTGCACCTGCCGAGGCACCTTCCGGCTCTGCTCCCGCAGCCGGCACACATCCTTGGAGACCTGCCTCATCAACTTCTCTGCATTCAGGTCTTGCTTCTGCTCTTCTTTTGTCTGCTCAGCCTGGCAACAGAGAAGAGTCTTGATGAGAAACCCGAAGAGATGCTGCAAGGCTAAGCTGGGAAGCCCAGCAGGCGCAGTCAAGGGTGTCTTTTGTTGGGTGGTAGGGGACAACACTCACATGCTTGGCTCCTGCCAAGGGGAGGAGGTACTGCCTTATCCAGAGGTGAGTTATTCTAATCATGTTAAAACTTTTTACATCTGGAAAACCCGAGCACTCAGTTGAGTGTATAGCTGGAGTTATGACTTTGGCACAGTGAGGGGTAAGCAGTAACTAGATGAATCTGGTGCAGTGAGAGATGAGCAGTAACTAGGTGGATCTGGCACAGGGAGAGACGAGCAGTGTGGACAAGGGAGACAGACTATGGTATGTGGGTTGGATTTGGCTTTTTTTTTTTTTTTTTTCCTTTTAAAAGCTGCTTTAAGAGGAGAATTCCATGGCAAATGTTGGTGTCCTTCCAGGGTAACTTCCTTCCCAGTCTCCCCAGTGCCTGGGGAAGTGGAGCTGATTAAGCAGCACCCGGGGGAGCTGCCAGGGCTGTGACAGACACATTGCCCTGTGCACGCTGCAGCAGGACTGCTCAGTTGGCTTCTTTTGGTTCATTTCTGGACTACCAGGCACCTTGCCCTCTCCCTCCTCATGGAGTCTCCTCTAGGCCTTGGCCTGCCTTGCCCTTCCCCAACAGTTATTATGGGACTTGCTTGCTTTCTGCTTCCCCTAAACAATGAGAGTACCCGGGACTTTCAAGATAGAATATTAATCTTTGGCAATTGTGTTCAGTGTAGACTAACTTTCAAAAGTGTTAGCATATGTATCACTTTTAGTTGAAAAAAAAAGAAAAAAAAAGCAAAAACAAACAGCAAAATCCTCTAACACCCTGGCACGTTGGCATGCTGACGGGGAAACAATCTGAGGAAGAAAAGAAATAGGCTCTTTGAAGAACAGAGTCCTCTATCCGCCCCCCTCTACTCCTCCTCCGGCTCACGAGAACTGGCCACTTTCTGCTTTAGACTCCAGAAGGGAATGATTAGCCTTCGGTTTACATGATGGAAGCCTGCCCCGCAGAAAGGTCCAGTGACTCACTTACAGCCATGTTAAGCCTGATGAAACAAGGAACACAGCAGTCTAAATTTACAGTCCTCGGCTTCTCACTCTGCTTCCTGAGGGGGAAGTACAATCCGAGAGCATGGACATTTGGTTTTTATTGTAAGCTATAAAAGAGGCTTTAGGCTGCCAACACGGAGGCTCACAGAGGATGACCTCAGGGTCATGCGGGAGGCAGACCCAGGGTCTATTGCTGGCTTCAGCCACTGCTTCTCTAGGAAGCATACATTTTTATGGCAATTGGCAGGGTCATCGTTAGGTACTTTATGATAACCTGATGAGAATCACAGATCCCCAGCACCACAGGGAAATAAAAGGGCTGTGCATGTGCGTGTGCGTGTGCGTGTGTGTGTGTGTGTGTGTGTGTGTGTGTGTGTGTGTACATACATGTTGCTGTGTCTATGTGCACACTGCTCAGTGGTTGTGAAGATGAAGAAGCAGCAGAAGCAGCAGAAGACGTACCAGTGGTGACTGCCCACTTCTGCAGTCATAACGAAAGGCTCACAGCTGAACAGTGTGGATTTTCTGAGCAGTTTATTATGCATTTCAGTTGCAGAGAAAAGAAGTATGTGATACAAATAGTTTATCTACCCACAGAGTTGGTAAAAATAAAGATAAAAGCTCTCTGTGCTCGGGGACTCAAGTCATTTTTAAAGTAGTATAAATGTACCTTGTTTTGTGAGTCCTGCCACCACTGCTTGCTGTAAAGCTGTCACAAGACAGAGGGAGCAGTGACAGAGTGCACACAGGGGTTGACACTGGTGTGTGTGTGTGTGTGTGTGTGTGTGTGTGTGTGTGTGTGAGCGTGGGGGGACACACACTCTGGCCTCTGAAACTCAGGTTGCAATTTAACTGCCCTTGTAGCAATATTAAATGTGGTGCTTTGAGGGGTTATAAGAGCACAGGACCTGCCCAAGTGGGGGTCGAGCAGTCTTAGAGCCTTGGCATCTATTTCTACTTCCATCAGTGAGAATGTCTCTATCCTGTGCTCCACCACAATCACCAGAGCTTCCCTTCCTTCCTTCATTATCTTGGTGACAAAATGATTGTGCAACCAAGCCCATCAGAAAGTACAGCTTTCTGTTACAGGAATTTCTGTACAGGAATTCTGTTAAGATGATGGCATGTCCTCTACATAACAACTACTACAGCCACCATCAGACACTACAGGGCTAGACACATGCTAGCTAGCATCATTTAATATGAAACAACCACAGATTAATGATGAAGTAAAGCATCATTTTACTAAAGAGAATTCTAAGGTGTCAATCTTTAAGACAAGTTTCCAAAACTGGAATTGGCAACCTGGCACTGCAAAGGAGATCTTGGCCATTACCCTTTGACTTTCTTCCCCCTGCAGGGCCTCTCATATGTCAGGCAAGTGCTCCACCGCTGAGCTACAACTCATGTCTTGACTCTTGGGAATTCTTGTTTTATTGAGAACAGATTTTAGCCTGTAGCCCAGGCTGGCCTTGAATTTGCTATGTAGCAGAGGACAACCTTGGAACTTCTGGCCTTTCTGCCTCTGTCTCTTCAGTGCTGGGATTACAGGTGTGCATCCTCATGTCCCATCTTCTGCAGTACTGGGGACTGAACCCAGGACCTCAACTATGCTAAGTTATGGCTGGGTTGTTACTACAGAATCACAAGGCCTATGAGACTGGAGGAGTGCCTGTATGGTTACTGGTGCTGTGCACCAGTATTTTAGCCAGTACCCACTGCTACATAAGAACTTGTGAGACAGATAATAAAACGCTAATGATTAGGAGATAAAAGTGGAATTACCTCCTAGATCAGATTATTGTTACATCAGATGACCCTGTGAAGAGGTCACTTACCATGGAGTTACTTCAATTTCATATTGTAAAAGAGAAATGTTTTAAAAATCAGCCGGTGAGTCTCCTTTTTGATAGTGTCTTCTCCTTTAAAACCAGGGATTTAGCCACACAGATTTAAATGTTGTCATGTTTTCCCTGATGGTGGGAAATTGAGACAATTTGTTTTTTAAAAGTTTGGTGGAACTTATATTGACTTGACGTTTTCTTTATGGATAGACTTTAAATTTCTGCTGTCATTTCTTTAACAGATAGATTTTTCAACCTTCTTTCTTAATTAGTTCTTGTATTTTCCTAGACATTTGTCTAAATTGTGGGCATAGGATGTTTAAAGCATTCAAAGAATCTTTTAAATCTCACATTTGTCTGGACTGTTCCTTCCTCATCAACTTCTTAGCCACTTTTTGTTGCTGTAGCAAAATACTCGAGAGAACACCTTAAAGGAAAGAAAGGTTCCCTTTGGCTCAGGGTTCTGATCCAGCCACAGCTCTGTTGCATCTGCAGGGGGGCAGGGAATGTCTGTGGAGAACTAGGCTTATGTGGAAGGCAGGCCTTTCAAAGGCACCCACGTGACTCCCCTCTCCCAGCTAGACCCCCACCTCCCAACAGCCCCTTCAGCTACGAAGTCCTCTGCTGAGCAACTTAGTGTCCTTGTGGTCCAGTTGCTTCTCAACACTGCCACCAGGTGGACCAAGCATTTGGGTTCAAACACAAACTTGTTAGGGAGGATTCTTTTTCATTAGATACTTCAAGGAATTATCTACTGAACCTTGGATTTCCACCCAAAGGGACACATTAGAAGAATAATGTCTAGATACTTGTAATATTTCAGCTGTATAAAAAGCTCTATTTAAAGATTATCTGTAGAGATGAAAACAAATTGCTAAGCCAATATATAAATCCCAACCCTAAGAATAAATCAGTATTATACTCATGCAGATTCAGTAATATTTAGTCAGCACATTAGAAAAAAAAAAAATCATCCCTAGAGCCAAGCAGATCTCTGTGAGTTCGAGACCAACCTGGTCTACAGAGTGAGTTCCAGGACAGGCTCCAAAATAATACAGAGAAACCCTGTCTCGAAAAACCA